ATGGCACCTGACAACAACAACCACCACATGTTAGACAAGATAAAGGGAAGAAGATAAACTGGTTAGGGCCCAGATGGAATAAACTAAAGTAGTATGCTGAGAATATCTAGAGCAGGTGTCATTATAAAGGTTGGCAGGCAAGGTATTGCTGAGATTTGGTATTTTTGCTGTGAACTGAAGCATGAGAAAGAAAGCCTTGTGAAAGTGGTTAATAAACTAAAAACGTTGCTTTCGACTCATAGTACCCCTGTAGGGTACTGCCTCAGAGGGTTCTTCAAGGCTGCCGCCATCTATGAGTTCAGACTTCCACAACATTCGCCACCCGGAGTGGTTCCCTAAGCAGTTAATCCTGCACCACTAGTTCCTTATTAAATGAATTAATGACTATAAAACCTGTAGTATAACTGTCATGTGAGTGGAAGGAAGCTTATAATTTGAAAAGAAATTCAATGTTTTGAATGCATAGCATTCTTGGAATAAATCTGAGAAATATGAACTAGCAGATCTTCCCAATCCCAATTACTGACTTACTCCTGGAAAGGACCCAGACATTTGCATTTTAACAAGCCTCCTGGTGACTCTGGTATAGCTAAAGTTAGAACCTCAGGTCTAGAAATGGTTCTCAAACTTGGCAGCAAATGGAAATCATGTAGGGGCTTTGAAAAATAATGGATGCCTGCGTCTTACCCCCAGATGGTGCAGTGCACCAGTGCGGTGCAGCTTAGGCGTCAGAATTTCCTGACTGTTCTAATGGGCAGCCACAACTGAGAACCACTAGCTAGAAAAGCAGGGGGGATTGATAATCAGAAAGTATAAAGGAAATTAAACCTAATTTTTTAAATGCTGCACCTGCTGTGCTCATGGACCAATGAGTGGTCTCCGTTGGCTATGCACTGGGCATTCAGGCATGCAATCAGCTTTAATGAGTGACCACAGAGCCTAGGCTGCATTAATGTATCCAGCAGGGAGAGCCTCCAATCTGGGCAACATCTGGGGGACCTCCATGCTGTGGCTTCTATTCAACAGATTGGTCACATGTTTCCAGCACACACTCTGGCTACTAATTACACATCGTACAAAAGTGACAGCTTCTGCAGGTGTAAATGATTAGGGTTTATTTAAGTTCATTTGAGGATGCTTGCCGTTTCCTACTTCCTACAAAACAAATTGCTCATGATTACATACTCGACTGTAAAACCATTTTACAAATTATTCTTTGTTAGCAGTTTAAGACAAAGAACATATATGTAAAAAGATAATTAAAAACACTATCCTCCTGGCTCCATAAAATGCTTAAAATAGGGGTGGGGTGGTGGAATCGAATCTCCACCTACTCTATAGTGATGCTCTTGCAGAAGAGCTGTGCCTAGAACTCCAAGGGAAACACATTTTTTTTTTTTCCTTTTTTGTAAATTGAGTGAAGGTTTATAGAGTAGGTCAGCCATTTTACATTCAACAAATCATATAC